GGGGGGGGGGGGGGGGGGGGGGGGGGGGGGGGGGGGGGGGGGGCGTGAGTTAAGAGCACGGTGGGAGGGTGTAAGTCCGATGGCACACATTCTAAGGTTCATCCAAGCAAGCCGTCGGTTGGGTGTGCGCTGGGAGGGATGTATGTATGCATATGCATGTATCGAATCGCGTGGCTTATGGACATGTCTGGGTAGAAAATCGATACAGTGTGTTACCACCATCAGTTCGGAAACGCAGCCCCCAAATACTTGTACCACTGCTACGAACATTAAACAGGACACGACACGCCCCGAACGCACAGCTCTCTCAAGAATCGAACATGACAAGAAGAGGCCGACCAGAGCTAGCGCGGGGTTCGTATCATAGTCCAATCACCCAGGCCAAAACCACTTCTTTCGTTTTATATTGCGACCTGTGGCTGGTCTTGTAGTTACTGACTACATTGGTTAAGCGCAGCACACACAATAATCAACTGCCGCCGGGCACCTATGGACCCCGGGCTGACTACCACGGCGATAGACGAAACTATTCTTGCGATTGCACAGAGGTACAACGCCACGAGAGGCCCTTCACACGTTCCAGACTTTTCTCTCACCTCCGCCAGCTCGGATACCAGGGCTGGCTTCCTCGCTAGCTTCTGTCGCTGCTCCTCGGTAGGAACCACCTCCCCCGACGCCACCTTCGCCTCCAACTCCTCAACCAGTCTAATCTTCTTGTTGAGCGCCTTTATCTGTAGCGCAGCACGCGGAGCCATACGGGGGTGCGGCATCGCGTGCAGGGCGGGCGGTGTCACACGGCAGGGCATGTAGCGTGCAGCAACCGGCGCAGACAAAGGTGGCAGCGTAGGGAACGGTCTCTCCAGCGCTGAACCCCGCGACCCGACCAGGGTTCACAAGAAATCGTCCTCGACGGTTTCATGCGGGAGCATCCCATGCGTGGATGCAATCATCGACGGGGTTGCGGTGTTGGGCAAATCCCCGGAGTGTCACATGCGTGGATGCGAATGTGGACAGGGCTGTTGTGTTGGGGCAACCACCAGCGCTGGTACTGGCAAGTAAGTCGAACGTGGGGCAAGGCGTGGTACTCGAGGTGCATGGGCACTGCTGCCGAGTGCTTTCGCCCGCGGCAGCATGCATGCTGTGAATGAAAGCTTCGCGACGATTAAGAATACGCCCCAGACTACACATACCATATCAACAGCAGTGTGCTCTGCAGCAGGAATACCCCTGTAGCCTCCTAGTCGACCCAAGCCCGCCGAAAATGTCGCCGACAGTCTGCGGACGTGCACATTGTGACCGCGGCCGTTGTTAGGGATGGTAAAATGAAAAAAAAAATCATCGCATGGTACCTTTCTCGCTGAGTCCACTGGCTCCGACGCTGTTTGTTCTCCGGAAGCACCACCGCCTCCCGCACAAACCTTCAGCCCGCCCAGTGCCTTAGCGGCGGTTTCGACAATATCTTGGTCGTCGTTGTCGTCGTCGCCGACACACGCGGCCCTTCCCGCCGCCTTTTTCGCCTTGCGTGCAGCGGCCCGGGCCTGATTTTTCTTTTGCGCTGCCGTGAGAGGCTTGTTGGGTTCGGAAGCGGGCTCTGGAGCCATTCCCGGAGGAAGCCGATTTTTCAGGTACTTCTGGTTCTGGAGACGAACGTACGTGACAGACGGCGGCGGGGGGAGGGGGGGGGGCTCGCTTGGTGTTTGGACGAGCGTAAGTCTGAGGGTGAGCAAGAAGGTATTCTCAAATGCTGCTGGGGACAAGCCGCAACCCTTGCTCCTTGTGACAAGCCAAGGAGTTTTGATTGTGCAAAAAGTTGGATGTTAATATCGCATCGTACATGACATGGCATGATCGGGTGCCACGACTGTATGTGCAACGTCGCGACAACTCTTTATGTATGACACGCCGCACGGCAGGCGTGTTTTCTGCGTTCGATATTCTGCTGGGCAGAGTGCACTTGATGCGGAGTGGCAAGATATCGTCACGCACAAGGCTGTGGAAACAAGATTGAAGAGAGCGTTGGTCCGTTGGTTCGACAGGAACACGAACGGGTCGCTATTTCAGCAACGTCGGCCAGGCGTGGATTATTTATTGCCGGCGGGCATCACCTGTTCAAGTAACACGCTGGCACCCAACAGGTGTCCACTTCACTCACAACCCTCTCCTCCTCAACATCCTAAACCGACGACATCAACATGAACAACAACGCAGCGTTACACTTCCATGATCGTTGCCATGGCACAATTTTTTTGCGCGATGGGGGAGCAAAATACGAAAAATGAAAGTCTGTGGACTGGTACATGCCCACAGACGAGATATCGCTGTTGGCAGGAGACTTGAGCAAAAACACAGGATTGCCATCAAGTACACAGCAGTACACTATGATTGATTGCTAGAAATTCACCCTGGGCCCCTTTTCTGTGGATAGAAATGAATACGTACTTGCCTTGTATCATGAACAGGCAGAAAACCACTCTGCAGGCACACTGAATCCTGCCGTTTGCGGCCGAATCTGCCGTGGGTTGCATACCTACGATACCTCAACCCCTGGTGGGCCGATTTTCAAACCCCGATTTCTCCACGACGACAAGGATACCAAAACCTCCACAAGTTACATTATTGAAAGCGTCTCCACGAGACGACTCCAAGCCTATTATGCCACCATTTCGGCACCGTCGCTATTTACTCGCTGCATAGGAGGATTCGTAATTGGTGAAGCAGAGGGGGGGGG